GGGCAACAAGTGAGAAAACAAAAAAAACCTCAGTGTCCCCACTTTAGCAGTGAAAATCAAATTCAAATTGGCTTTTACTTACCCAATTTATAATCTTAGCACAACTGTAATCTATAACAATGTGACCAATATGCTAATAAACTGAAGGTGGGGGGTAGTGTGCCATTGCAACTTGTGCAGCTCATATTTTTTGTTCAAAATCAAATTGGCTGAGTTCAAATCAAACTCAAATTTCTCCCTCATGCTCGTATGACTGGCTTTGTGTGCTCAGATCAGAATCAGTCCAACTTTGATCAGATTGTCTCCAGGCCAGAGTGATGAGATACTCGCAGGAGGGAGTATATCGTACACCAAAGGAGATGGTCAATATAGCTGTACGGGTAAGGAAAAAGATTGACTGGATTTCAGTGTCAGTCTTAAAGGACTTCTGTACTTTGGGGAATTAACATAGAAATGTTCTGTAAAACTGATGCGTAACAATGGTTTCACAATTGCTTGAAACATTGCAATCCAATCTGCTCCAGAGTCGAAACAGATGCACCACTAAACATAGACTTATTTTAGATAATGATGTTTCTTCTTTTTTTAACCCTTTTTTCAGTTATGATTTTGATTTATTTTTTATTTTTAAATTTATAGTACATAATATTATTGTAAGATTCAGAAAATCCAGAAGAAATACAACAGTTCCACAATACATTTTTCTTCTTTTAGAAGGTAAAGACGACTTCATGCTGAATGACCCAGAAGATGGTTTCTACCCAACACCCTGCAAAACATCTTCTTTACTGTAAATGTTTGTGGGTGTTGTTTTAAGTGAATCAAATTTTCTTAAAGATGAGGACAAGAAAGACTCTTATGGTCACAACACAAGCAGCTGGCTGAGATGGAGACAAATATCAGGCTTATGCCATGTCAGTGCTTAGTGTGCTTACTCTGTGGTATGTACCTGTATGCTGTAATGAGAGTGTGTTCGTCTGAGGAGGCGTCTTCATATTGACTGATGCTGCTGGGTACTTGGTGGTGCAGGAAAAAAGGATCCCTCACCAGGTTGAAACAGAAATAATGGTCAAATGTTTGGAGAAAACTCGAGGGAAGACAGATGGTGAGATTCAGAAAAGAAAAGAAATACATCGATAAGGTTCATTTTTTGCACATTTCTTTGCAAGAGTTCTTGAAATTATGTTTAGTTGAAATGATTCATGAGCTATTTTGAGGGATTTCTTTTAAATTTCCATTGAATAAACTTGGAAAAAAAACAAAAACAACAAAAAAAAACAACACCATAATTAAACATACATCTACTCTGGTCTGTATTTGTACAAGCGAAACTGAACACTCAAAGCCAGTGTAGCCTGTAAGTTCAGGCATTAACTGTCAAAAATATTGGTATATCTGAGACTGAGCAGGCATCTGCTAATTCAGGCTTACTGTATATGAGAGTTGTTGGAGACATGGGACAGGAATGGCCTGTGTTATTTGCCAAGGTTTTATTGTAAACATTTTTTTATTTGGTTCTCTGCTTTATATCTTGCTATCTGATCTATCTGGGTTCCTTGTTTTACCAACATTGGTGACTTCCCCTTGAGGTTTTGTTTGCTGTGGCTCACAAACATGTATATTTGCCTCTTTTACTTGCAGTCAGTCTGCTTTTGGTCCAAACTCTACAAAATGTTAAACATGCAAAACCCTTATTCAAATATACATCTCCTTTTCATTTACGCTGTTCTTCTATGTCGATGATTCGCAAAATGCATACCAACAAAACATGCTACATATTTAAATCAAGATTAAATTCGGTACTCTTTACTTTGAACACCCAACCTGTGTCTATAACTGCTCTGTCACATTTCTTTAAATGAGGGAGGAACAAAGTAGTGATTGGGAAAAAATGTATTTCTCTGATATCACTTAAAAGTATAGCTTATTTTGTGCGACTAAAAATTGACATGAATCAGGACCTGCTAATGCCAACTGCAGAAAACTGCTCAGGTCATATAAAAGTCACAATAATGATACAACTCAGAGACAAGCTGAACTTTTGACCCTGCACACAAATATTGCATAGATTGTGTTTACACACCCACGTTATGGACATGTAAACAAATCCTACTCCAGATGGTCAGACCTTTCCCTGCCCTCACCATGTCTTTTGGCTGTTTTTCTCTGCAGGAAAACCTGCAGTGACTCCAGTAGAGGTGAAGCAACACTCAGCCGACCTCTCCACATTTTTTCAGCTGCTGAATGTAAATGACTAAAAGGGTGTAAACACATAGTAAAAAAAGAGAAACCGTGTGTAGACTGTGAAACGGTGAATGAATGCACAACCATCCACTTGGTTTTTTGTGTACACGGCCAGAAGGCAAAGAGGATGGATTGGGAATTTGAGCTCTGAGTTGACAGCCAAGAAAACCAGTGGAGCAACAACTCAGATAGACCCAAGAATAGCCAAACCCAATGTGCAGGAATCTGGCAGAAGAAGTGTCTTCTGTGGTTTGATAGTAAATAGCCACCACCACCACCACATCAAATTCAAGCTGCTTTTCTTGTTGTCGGATGTGTTTAAGTTTGTGCCCTTTAATTTGAGAGTCTGTGTTTAGAGATGAAGGACAGCACACGTTTAGTAATTTGACCAAAGAGGCTGAAAAAAAAAAACTAATTTATAGCACCTTCACTAAAAATAACGAGTGTTTGACAGAGTGACATTTGATTGATGCTTCATTTAGAAATTAACACAGTACAGAGAGGTGAAACTGCAGGAATCAGAAATAAAACTTGTTAGACTGTGGCAATTTTAAATGTATAAAGAAAATTACCATTACATTCAATCCATCTGGTTTATTTGTCATTTTGTAGTCACATTTCAATGCCCAAATTTGTGTGTAAATATGCAGAGAGCAGCATCAGTGCAGGGAGCTGAATATTTTGGGGTTGGGTTGACTCATATAACACAGACAGTGTTCACATATTACCTGTGTGTGGAATGCTTCTCACGTCTGCCCTAAATTCAGGTCTGCAAAAAGGATAAGACGGGACATTGAGGAAAACCAAAAAAAGAAACCAACAGTTCTGCTTTCGCAAATGTGCAGCTATGCTGAGGGTGTGCTATAGGCCTACCCTTGCTCCTGTTTTTACGGATTATTTTAATCTTTTCACAGGCAGGGAGGCATTACCTTCAGTCACAGTGCACAGATTTTTTTTTTTTTTTTTTTTTGTATTCAGGGGGCATCATTGGTACAAAACAAAATTCGAAGAAAAACTCGATAGCGTTGTCCTGCAAGGGGGCAAGGCAACTAGGGAACCAATGCATAGTATTTTTTTGACTAGCCACTGCACAACAGATCAGCCCCTTTCATCACAATATGCACAGTTTTCTTCAGGACAAAGATACAGGAGGCTCAGGAAGTCATTCATTTTCCAACCTAACATTCAGCTGTTCAACAAGCTTTGGGAGTACAGTCCAATCTCAGCACTCTTCAGAAATCAGCATTTGGTATCCGGTATATGAATCATGAGGCTTTAATGACATTTGGATGAATGTATGTAGTGTTTACCATATTCTGTCCTTTGAAGTTGTTGATGTATCTTGCATTTTCATTTTTTGTGTTCTTTCTGCCAGAGAAATGCCTAGACTTTTGAGGTGTGGGTTGGTGGCCTAAATGCAACACTATATGCTAATTTTGGCACAAAGCACACACGTGGTAGTAAATGCCAGTAGCTACTACCTGTGGGCTTGTTAAAACAGATAAATAAACTTAACTGTTAACTCATTCAATGCCAGGTTAATTTATGATATTTTCAGCCAGTGCCACCATTGACCGCTATAGAAATTGCCGTATCTTTCAGGACCCACAGAATATCTTGTGCTTGGACTAGAATTAAGTGCAAAATCTCAAAAGAAAGGGGTGATTCTCTTCTTTCACCATTTTTACGAAGGAAAGACTTTCAAGCAGAACTCTGATCGTCTATTTCATTTCACTTCAAACTACTTTACTGATGGCATTAATGTCCTTCGTCCTCAGACACCACTCCTCATCATTCTCAAGATCGGTAACTTTATGATGGCTGGGAGTCGTATTGGCTCTCGAGATCCTGATGCCACAACATAAATAACACAGACTGCTTCGCATCCTCTTCGCCAGGACTGTCGCTGACACTGGCGACATAACAAAACACCGAAAAATAGTTTCTTTGATTGTCTGCTGATGATGTGAGGGTCCGATATTGGGATCTCCACTGGATCCAGACGGTAGCACCACGCCCATGGGAGCCGATGCACCAAGACCGTTTGCTCTTGACTAATGACTTTTCTACTCTCCTCATAGAGGAAAAACACTCTACAACTAGGCTAATTGGCACACTTCTCACTGGTGAGTACTTGTTTTTGTTATTGCAATGTGGTTGTGACCTATTTGTCAGCTTTTCTACGATTAGAACGACCCCAAACTTAGTCGCATGTTGGGGAGGAGCACCCTCTGGCGGAAAACAAAAAACTGGAAAATCTGTCCAAATCCATTATTGGCACTGAATGAGTAAACACACTTGAGATGTCATTCTCTACCTCCCAATGTCTTGTATTGTGCAAGCTACAGTCTCGCACTTTGGTCTGTCACTGGAACTAATGTCCTGCTCCAATGCAGCACTCACACTCTCAGCCTCATTATTATACCTGTAGGCTCTAGCTCTTCCTCAATTCTACGTGTATAAAACAGATCTATGTCAGAGCTGCTCTTCAGGACAAAACTGAGCTCTTCATTGAGATAGCCACCTGTAATTGCGGCCATGACCATGGCATCAATGCCACAACAGACCAATTGATCCATCTTCTAATTATTACCTTAAGATTTTCTGTGTGCGGTATCATACCAGTATCCACTCAAATCCAATTAACACTAGCGGCCCCCCTCAGAAAACTGCATTGTAGAGGGATTACACAGCTATCTGTGCCGGTCTGATTAATGGCCACAGTAATTAATGCTGAAGGGGTCTGTCCGAGTGCCTCAGTGTAGAGGAGCATACAGTAGTGAGCCAGCTGCAGCCAACACAGCCTGCACTCCTACACACATGCACACAAGCATACAAATCAAACACCTGGGTTCCCTCATGTGCACATATGTTGTACACAATACAAGGCTTTTTTTTGGAAAGTTAGGTGCCCCTGATGCACATGCAGATAGGCGGGGATAAAACACAATATGTAAAGGAGTGCTCTTCTGTGTTCACTTTTCTGTGGGTACTTGATTGTGCAGCTAGATGGTGAAACAAAGAAAATAGTTTTCAAAAATAACCATTAAAAAAGAGACAGCTGGTTCCAGTACCCCACGCTGTTAAAGATAAGATAAGAGATAGGAGGAGCTTTGCTGGTCCCCAAAGGGAAATTCAATAGAATGGAGATAAAAATAGAAATACTACAGTTCATATATATGTCATCCAAGCAACAGGAGAAACCACAATGAACACTCCACTGGAGTTTTATGAAGCAGACAAACTGTAATGTATAATTGACACAGTCTCATTCTAATAATTCATATAGCAATCTCCTTGCAGGATCCGTTTCCTGCGATTACAATCATCTCCATCCTCTGAACAGAATTATCACAGGTTGTTAAAGGCCTTAAAACCTAATCTCCAGGATGTGACATACAAATGTTGCAGGCTCTTCCTCTGCCTCACGCAGTGCGCATCCATCAGTCTTTTTCAACATCAAAAGTCCTCTATCATGCAATGTTATCTCCTGTTTCAAAGGTTGCGGTTGATATGGCATGATTCCAGCCTGATAAGAGTACAAACACCTGCTTGCTCTGCAGGCATGCAGCTTGGAGAGCTCTTTTATATTGGCTCTGGATTGCTTTATCAAAATATAATGTTTAATCTTTCTGTTTTCCACCTGCCTCTTCAAATCCTTTCCATGGCTTCTGTCTTTTACTGATGTTTTGTAATTTTCTGGGAATTGCAGCACAAAGCACCCTGAAAAGCTGTGCAAACACTTTGGGAAATTGCTTTGAGTTTATGTACGTTTTCCATGCGCCCTTTTGTCCTTCGGTTTCTCAATTTCATATGCATCCTTTTTTTGTGTGTGTGCATCTCTCTGAGTGAGTGTTTTTGAGTGGGCATGTAGATGTTTGACTTCTGAGATGATACAAACTACTATCTCTGCACTCTATTTCGCTATGCTGTTTAACCAACACAACATAGAAATTCACAATTCATGAGGTGCAAATACTCAACTTGGAGTATTCTCTGAAGGCCGTTTGAAGGGGAGGTGAAATGACTCTCATGAATGATGAATACAAAACTGCTCCCAAAATAAATTTTAATCAATGCTGTAGATGTCTGTCGAAGAAATATCTCACGCAATGCTTCCAAAGTCCTTTCAGTTTCTTACTCATGATAAAATGCCACTTTTTCCTGTCACTTATGGAAATGAAAAGCATACAGACAAATACTATTGAGGTGTATGACAGCCTAACATGATGAGAACCTTACAAGGGCTGTACCAGACATGAACAAGCACATCTAAATCAGAGTTTGCCATTTATTTTAAATATTCAACTACAAACTTCTCACTCTTTCCTTGGATGAAACTTAAGTGTGAATACATTCATTTCAACCAAACAGCACTGTGGGGCTATATGGTCATGCAGCAAAAAGAGCATGTATAAACTGAAATTAAAAAAAGAAAAAAGAAATCAAGAGGATAGACTCACCATTAAAACTCTGAATGCCTTGCTTGTCATTGATAGTCCAAATATTTTTGTCTTCTTCTCCCACTTCAACGACCTACAAAAAGAGAGAGGAAAAAGAGTAAGTAGGTTTAAAAATTATTCATATGACTATGAAGGGACATTCACTGTACAACCTAATAAATGCTTGGTGGTAATTTGAAGCACACTGAAGAAGTGAAATGCGTATAATGCACAACCACAACTCGGAAAATATGCACTCACATGATGTAAACCTATTGTCAGACATGATCTCAGTGCACCTACACAGGATGTGTTAAATCTGGATGTTGAATTGACAAATATCTTACAAATGTACTTTTAGTTGGGAGTCTGACTCTGAATGTAAATATCAAGTGGATCATTATTTATTCAATGGATTGACAAAAACTGAAAATGGAGAAGCTTCATTGGAGTAGGATTCATGGTGAAGGTATTATTTGGATCACACATCCAAATTAGATTGCACAGATATTGGAGTTCTTTTGGAAAGTATGGAAATAAATTTGATAAATTTCCAGGTCTTTAAAAGTATGGAAAATGAGAAATAAAGTATGTAAAATATTTAGGTTTCCAGACAATTACCACAGGTCTGAGATACTGTTTTCTAAAATAGAAAAGTAGGTATTTCCAAAAAATAATTCTAAAAATAATAGGGTATGGAAAAGTATGGAAATTCCAACTGTGTAGGAACCCTGTTTACATGTTTTTCAGTGGTCTACATCACAGACATGTCCCCATCTAAACCATGTTATATGAGGATTATCAGAGAGCCAAATCTAATTTAAAAATCTTGAATTGAATTGGCTTATTTTCGTGCTCTACTGTGTGAGGGCATCGGCTGAGCAAAATTTCTAACATGCCAGAAATTCAACAGTTGTCTGGAAGCTGCTGATTTTACTGAGAGGCAAACAACACACTGCTGAGGTGGTTTTACAGTTAGTCATGTCACCCAAAAATTAGTCCAAAATCTGCTTCAGGTTGCACCACGTATGTCCTAACGCACATAAACGACATAGCTAGATCTACTTGAATAACCAGTACAATTAAACAAAACTAGTGAATAGAAGAAAAACCTAAGCAAACATGAACAGCTTTTTTTCAAGAACTGAGGAAGTGTATATCTGGGCTCACTGAAGAAAAGCTTAACTGGAGTGAAGGTTTATCATCCTGTCTCAACTCAAACGGTTCCAAACTATACCTAACTGATGGACATCAGGTGTTTTGTGGCCTCATTAGTCTTAATCTGATCAAAGCAGTGATAGGTTTGTTGCTGGTCTGGCTGAAAATTGGCAGTAATAAAGATGTTTAATGGCATGCAGTGGAGACTATTGACATTCAAGGCCTTTGAGACCAGCCAATAGATTTTTTTTTTTTTTTTAAACTTGATTACCGGCTCCAGTTGCCAATCTGCAGTTACTATCAAGGCTGTCTAGTCTTCACAACCACTATGGAATACAAATGAAGTCAACTCTGTGGTGATCTTTATCGCCAAGTGACCACATTTGTTGAAGTATTTGTACAGTAACTTGAACTTTCTCAAATGTCAACTATCCCTGCATTGGAACCATTATGTATGTGTATGCAGAGCATCAAAGGAACGTTAACATTTCCCAGAGAACATCTCCACCTACACGTTTTGTCGATGCACTGAAAACAAAGACACACTAGAAAAACACCAACACATAAACATACAACATAGAAATACTTTCTTCTTGTTGCATGCGTAGGTTTAGTGACAAGATACCACAAGGCAGAGTGAATCCTCTCAGTTTGACACATGTTGTATTATTCCTCCATTATGCAACCATTGCTAAATGTCATGCAAATGCTTCAATGAATTTCAATTTACCATTAATCCACTAAGCTCCAGTTTGTACTTTGAGTTGATAAAGTGAAATTGAGGGATGAGGAAAAAGTGTCAGGGTAGAGAAAAGAGCTGCATGGGACACTTCTCTAAGAGTAGTATTATCCAAGCATGAAAACAGAATGTCACTAGCAGTGAGGGGAAAAAGTCATTTGTCAGCTGTATCAAGGCTCTGAGTGTAATTAATGTAGAAACAGCACTATTCTGATTAGCCTTGCTGAACAACAAGGAGATAGGAATAGTCCAAGGCTGCATTAGTTTACCATTCTCTAGAGTGGAGGAAACTAAATTTGCATCCTCAAGTGTTGGAGCTGACAGTGTGATAGGTTATCTTAATTTAAACTCTCGTCTACCATAGAATATAAATTAATTCAAGTTCAGAGCCGGTCACATTCAAATCTGATAATTTCACTTCACTTATCCACTGGAACACACTAATGTTGACATTTTCCCAAGTGGGAGCTCAAAAGTATTCTTCTGAAATTCAGTTTTCACAGTAACAAACAAGCTCACCAAGGGTCCATTTAAGGGTCTTGGTGTCGAGCATATGCATCATTCTTTTTCACTGGGTATGGACGTCAGCACACAGGTTGTGTAAAAAGCGGGTATAGGTCATATAGGTCAGGGGTGTGTTGGTCTTGAATGAGGTTTGGTGAGGTGCAAAGGTGGGGCGTTGTATCGTGGGGACAAAGAAAGCTGCTGTGCCAACAAAAACCTGGTCTAGAGTTGTAAGTCACTGGAACAATACAGTACTTTGCTTTTCAGAAGTTGCAGCCCACCCCGATTATGCACTACTTAAGTAGCAAAATTTGATTAGACCAGTCTTGACTCACTTTATTCCAATTGCTTCAAACCATGCACTTTAAATGAGTTTAAATAGGGCTTTAGATGACAGAAACATGGATGAGTTAGATGGAGCTGAATGCATTTCTATGGTGTCATATGGTCTTGGGATGTTTTCATACCTTAAAGTCTGGATCATGGTCCAAACTTTGTGGTTTTTGTTACATTGTATACATTTGGTTTGGTCTCTTAGGTTTCACACTGTCATTGTTGCAAACGGACTAACAGACTTAACATGACGAACTTTTACGTGAAATTGTCATCAACTACGTACTTTGTGTGTCTCTGTAGTTTACATTGATTGGTCATTTGGCTGGCAGATGTCTGATGTCAACACGTTGAATAACGTGGGTCTTGAATGTTGTAAACATGAATAAAATCATTATTTACATTATATTGTTGATTTTCAATACCAATAGCGACAACTTGAAGAGCTGTACATGAGGCTAGTCTGAGTTTATCTGATGAATTTGATCATTACACGACAACTTTACCGTGATCGACAGAATAGAAAGTAAGCAATCCTGCGAGCCACTGCAATACAGACTCATGAGAGAAAGTATACGTAGTAAAACTCTTGAAAAGATCTGCTGTCAATAGTCAGGTATAACTTTATCTACAATATTATAAAATTTCTTGTTCTCGGACAAACCCCATTCAACATGATAATGGATACTTCTTATCACGTCATTCCCTGTCTTTGTTATAAAGGTCCTTTCAAAATAATGCTTTCACACTGGGCATTAAACAGACTGTGGTTATGTTTGTTCTGGGTCGAGACCACCTCTTTTAGTCAGACCAAGGTCTAATCCAATCCAATCTAATCCACCTTTATTTGTTGAGCCCATAGACTGTATATACTATGGACAACTTGGTTCCGCCTACCGCCTGTATACGGATTTGAAGGATTTTTTACGGATACAGATTTTTTTAAACTTTTAAAAACAGAGCTTCACAGAAAAAAGAGGACTTGAGCACAAACCAGTCTTACAATAACTACATGTCAACATCACAAGCAGGGGGGAGAAAAATGTATGTTCTGTGTAATAAATTTCTAAAGTTTGTTCACAGTTCCATAAGCTTTGCTGGCGGAGGCGGGATTTATGATCTATACTGCAGCCCATCAACAGAGGGTGCTGTTCTCGGAGTGGCTTCACCCAGCGAGGAGGCAGACTCTGTCCAATCTATATACAGTCTATGGTTGAGCCCTTTTGCTGTTTAGTCCGGACTAAGGTCCATGGGAGGTTTCACACCTATCACTGTTTCAGACCAAACAGTAAAGTCTGAAAGTCCAAATGACATAAGTGTGAAAGCCCCCTTTGTCAACCAACTCTACCACTGTCCCCCAGTGTTCCAGTGGGTTTTCAGTCCATGTGGAGAGTTTATAGGGGAGGTTACCTGCCATGATGCAGTCCTGGGGCCAACACTTGTCTAATGTCAATTTGGCTTTGATTATTATCCATAAATAGATCCACAAATGAATTAAAATTCAGCTAACAATTTGCTGTCTCTCAAGCTGTTTTTTGAATCTCAAGTTGCCGTACTGTAGGAAAGATAAAAGGAAAGCCTTGACCAGAAGTCATTTATTGCCAAGTGCTGGCCACACAAGAAGCCCAGCAAAGTTGCTTTAATTAAAAGAGATGCATTTTTGACATTTGATTGTTTAGACCTTATATGCATGGCCGACCAATACCTACACTTTTCCATAAGTGGGGTCAAAAAATGACCCCAACTAGAATTAATGCGTTTTAAGCTGTAAATTATAAAAAATGTCTTTCATTTTGGATAAAGATGATGATTTTTATTATATTTTGGTCAACAAAAGAATTATTTCATGTCTGACTTGTTCATTTATCACTTATCAACATTTTATGACAAAACGGCTTTGAGAAAGGTAAAAAAGGTCAACCTCCAAATATGATTCCAAAACAAGAATGATTACATATTTTACATGTTACTTTTTTATCTTTCATTCATTTGCACACAAACTTGCTATCAATACAGCTATCAAAACTTTAGCTCTCAGTGTTTCTGTGCCCCCTTGTCTCATGTCCAAACAACATATAAAAACACACACTGTCTTCTCTCTCCTCACTGTTTTAAAGTAGCCTATCCTCTTCTGGCTGTAAGGACTGCACACAGGGTCACTGCAATTCCAACAACTATTGCTAGCTTTACGGTCTTGGTTTCTTGGGCACATTTTACACCTCTTCCTCTTCTGTTGGCCCTGTCTGTTAACGCTCTGTGGCTGGATTACAGCTTTAGTCATCCCATACCTTTCCATTGCTGTGGTGATGTAGGTTGTAGGCATGGGTAACCTTCCAGTCAACTTCTAAATAAGGTGTCACAAGCTCATGTGAGTGCTCTATAATAAAGTACCATTGGGCATTAGTGATACCTGCATAGAATTCAGGGTGCTGAGCTTTAAAAAAGGAGTAGGCATTCAGGGTAGCAATATCAATCACACTGTACCACAGCAGCATTAGCCACATCTGCAGCTGGCATTTACAGGTGTAGGTGCCAACCATCTGGTCTACAATATCTATTCTACACCTCCATTGTAGAAGTGGATCACTACTGTTTTTTCAAAGTAGTAATTTGAGGATGATATCACAACACTATCACACAAAATCCATGGATGTGGAAAATAAGTCCATATTTTATAGCAGCACATATATTACGAGGTATAAAAATGATAATATTTACATGCATTGCTGTGTTCCTGTAAAGATAACCTTCAGGGTGGGGAGAGTGCTCAGATTAGATGTTTTGATCAACAGTAAATGTTTACCTGACAGTCACAGTTGATAAAAATCTAAGGTTCCAAGGGTTAACCTTAGAAATTCCTTAGAAAGTGATTGGGGTCATTTTTGACCCCACCTATGGAAAAGTGGGGTACTGATACAAAAAATGCAATAACTAAAAAAATAAATAAATAGAATTAGATACAAATCCAAATGACCCCATGTCAAAGAGAACCTATTTGAGGAATACACAGAAGATTAAATGATTAGAGTTAAAAATTACAAATATATTGCAAAAAGAAAAAACTGGCGTTGGGGTCATTTTTGACCCCACTTCTGCATCTAAGGGTTAGCTTTTTCATAACTTTGTAAAAGTGAAGGAGCCTTGAGTAAATTTTATGTCAGTAAGTCAACGGTTACTGAAACATTTTGGTTTTGATTAAACCAAAACATGAAGTGTCCCAGGCGGTGTGATCAAAAGGACATGGCCTTCCCTTGAGTAATACTGCATCCAGGTACTAACATATAGCAGATACCTTCAAAACAAGGACTATTTCACATCTGACACTGCAACATTTGGAGTATCTACTTGCATGGGCTAATGAAAGTAGTGCTAACCTTTGCATAAATAATGAGACTGCACGTTGATTGATCACCAATAAAGGAAAACAAGATGGAAGACTGATTAAAATCTCTTGGTAGGTTGAGTAAGCAATGTCCTGAACACCCCTCAGGGTAGAATAATGAAGCAAACAGACGGCCAGAAAAAAATATGTTGACTTGAATTGATTCAAAAGTGGTTCTTGTTAAATTGGTTGTGTCAGCAGGTTTATTGTACAGCGTGCCCTTGCCTTTGGGAAAGGAATAAGAAAAAGGCAAGATTTTAAATCTGGATGTGCAATCATCTACCCTGCACCTCAACACAGCTGACTTCACAATCAATTTGATGAAGGATGAAGGATAAAACTAAGCAGAACTCACTCCAGGACAGTGACATTTCACAGAAGACTTCTCTTCTCTGCATCAAAGACATATTCTGTCTTGTTGCATACATGCACATTTAGATATAAAGACCTAATCATCAGGAGGTTAAAACAAAGTCAGAAGTATTACAGCTCGCATTTGACTCTTTCATTAGAGCCATAAAAGAAGTGCCAGCTGGCCACTGTCTGCTACCTGGCGCTTTATCTTACTGTCATTTCATTCCAGACTCCAAATGAACACAATGAGTTGAATTTTTGTCACAGCGATTACTGAGGAACAATTAGTGCAATTAGATGATGAAATATTTGGCAGGAACAAATGCAAGTGGATAATGATATGAAGCTCAATTGCAGAAATGTTGTAGACACAGAACAAAAGGGCAAGAGAAAGATTAATTTGCATTAAAGTGGTGACTAGAGAGAAACCCCAGAGTTTTTCTTCTTGTACTTTAAATGAGGTAACAAGGTCAGTGTTTTATAATAATAACAATAATACATTTTATTTAAAAGCACCTTTCTGGACACCCAAGGACACTGTACAGGCATTAAAAACAGTTAAAACAGGTATGAAGATGGACAGTTAAAGGGAATATGCAATTTGGAACAGATGTGTTTTGAGTTTTGATTTAAAGTGGGGTAGTGAGTCCATGTTTCTGAGATCCGGGGGGAGAGAGTTCCAGAGTTTGGGGGCAGAGCGACTGAAAGCCCTGTTCCCCATGGTGCTGAGCCGGGCAGAGGGGACAGAAAGGTGGAGGGAGGAGGAGGATCTGAGGGAGCGTGAGGGGGTGGATATGTGGAGGAGATCGGAGAGGTAGGGGGGGGGGCAAGGTTATGGATGGCCTTGAAAGTGTACAGTATGATTTTATAGTGGATTCTGGACCGGATAGGAAGCCAGTGAAGCTGCTGAAGGACAGGGGTGATGTGGTGAAAGGAGGGGGTTCTGGTGATGATACGGGCTGCAGAGTTTTGGACAAGTTGAAGTTTATGGAGGGATTTGTGAGGGGCACCGAGGAGGAGTGAGTTGCAATAATCGATACAGGAGGTGACAAGACTGTGGACCAGGATAGCTGTGGTGTGAGGAGTGAGTGATGGGCGGAGACGGTTGATGTTTCTTAGGTGGAAGTATGCAGACCGGGTGATGTTACTGATGTGGGAGTGGAAAGATAGTGAGCTGTCGAGGATGACACCCAGGCTCTTAACCTGAGGGGAAGGGGACACTGTGGAGTTGTCTATGGTGAGGGAGAAACTGTCAGTTTTGGAGAGAGTGGACTTAGTACCGACCAGGAGGAGTTCTGTTTTATCAGAGTTGAGTTTGAGGAAGTTTGATGTGAACCAGGATTTAATTTCTGAGAGGCAGTGGGTGAGGGAGGAGGGTGGAAGAGAGGCGTCGGGTTTACTGGAGAGGTAGAGCTGGGTGTCATCCGCGAAGCAATGGAAGTGGATACCAAATTTGCGGAAGATGCTGCCAAGGGGAAGGAGATAGATAATGAAGAGGAGGGGCCCCAGGACAGAACCCTGGGGCACACCTGAAGTGACGGGAGAGGGCTGTGAGGTGAAGGATTTGAGTTGGATGAGTGCGGCCAGTGAGGTATGAGTGAAACCAGAGAAGGGGGGTGTGAGAGATGCCTATGGAGGAGAGTCTATGGAGGAGGATGGGATGAGAGATGGTATCGAAGGTCGCACTCAGATCAAGGAGGATGAGGATGGAGATTAAACCGGAGTCAGCTGCCATGAGGAGGTCGTTGATAATCTTGATGAGGGCTGTTTCAGTGCTATGGAGGGGACGGAAACCGGACTGGAACTGTTCGTAGAGGCTATTGTGGGTGAGGTGGGTGTGGAGTTGAGAGGCAACATTTTTTTCTAAAATTTTGGAAATGAAGGGGAGGTGGGAAATGGGACGGAGGTTATTGAAGTCGTTGGGGTCTGAACCAGGTTTTTTCAGGGTGGGACTGATGGCTGCAGTTTTACTCCAATAGATGGTTGTTGAAAAGTGTGTAATAAATAAATCTTAACAATGCTACTTTTTTCTGTAGCCATAAAGCCCACAGCTGCTCTGCTCACCAAGGTATTGATTATATAGTCACATACGAGAGCTTGAATTTGCCTGACTTATGAATCCTATGCATTATCAACTCACTGATTCTGTAGTCGTAACTTTTTTTAAAGATTTTTTTCTGCACTCTTTCTTTGCGTGAAAGGGGATTAGTAAGACAGAATTCATCCACTTTTATGTTCTGCCCTCACAGGATAAACACATGAACACAGACTTGAGAAAAATCCCTGCATGTGTTAGTTTTGCTATGCCATTGAAGTAAAATTGTAAAACCTTTAAAAAAAGAGTCTTTAAAGACCCACTCCGATGAAAATCATGAGTTTCTTGTTGTCTACATGTCCATTTGGCATTTTTCCGGAGCTACAGGACATATCATGAGAAAACTAAGTGAGAAATTGCATTTCTGAGTATTTCTGCCATCAAATCACTGTGAACTTCTGGCAGACCCAAACGGCAGGTTCAGAAACTGTGAGATTTCATCTGTCCCAACTGCAAGCTCCGCCCCCGGAGCCACGCTATGCAGGTCAGATTTAGAAAAGTAGAAAGGACAATCACGAAATTAGCGTGTGCGTTAGCGGATTGCAATCCTCGTAAGAAAGCTAATTATGATAGTAACTTTCATCATGTCTCCAAAGACTTAAGTTTCAGAGAGCCGAAGAGCTCCTATGATACCTGCTACTTCTTCTACTACACCGGCAATGTTAGGCTGCTTCACCCACCACTCAGAGGCGAATTGCTAATGGGCTACTGGAGCTCTGCAGAAGAAAAGCCTATGAAAACGACACAGGTAAAGTGATTTTGGCTAAAAATGTCATAATCACAGCTTAAAGACCACTGAGAACAATTTAAGTAGTCGTGAAAAAAAGAAAGAAGAAGAACGGAGTGGGACTTTAAAAAGCCTTTAGTCGATTTAAAGTTTTCTAAAGTTATTGAGTCAGTCACTACAGAAAAGGCGCTCTGGGATCTTTTTTCTGTCAACGTTGTTTAGTTCAGAGATAAAGTTGTATGTTATATCACTGCATATTCTGTGCCCTCTCTTAATTAAAGCATGAACTGAGCTTATAGTAGTTAGTTTACAGCCATTAACTGCTGAGCCGTCATTTTCATGATAAAACGTTTACATTTTTATCACGCTGGTTATATTGAGTAAAATCACCTGAATAACTGGACTATCGTGTATTATAACACTTTACAATTGTGTAATGTAAAGAAAAACAGACTAAATCATTTTCTCTTAGGGCCTGTGACTTTGCAGCTTAAAGTTTGTGTACAAAAAAGCAAGTTGTTTGATTTTATAATTCATCACCTAAAGATTCGCTCAAGGTTTTGCAAAGACATTCAGACTAATGGCAGTTTAAGACAAATGAGGGGTTTGATGTCAAAAAAGAAATTATACAAGCAAGAATAAAAATTCTACAAAAGCCAAGAACCTGTGAAGGCTGTAGTCATGCAAGTGTAGTGATTTATCTTGAAATAGAGGCCCTGGGCCGTCACCAGCACAGTTTGTAAACACCCATTTTTCATCCGGGTTTGTCCAGACTTTTAAGTTTAACACAAAGATCCCTGTCATTTTCTGAAATGCTCTTACCAATTCTAGACATTTCATTTTGGGAACCATTTAAAAATGTGTTTTAGCCTGATGGTCAACCCATATACTCAGCACCAGCATATATATTAAAAAAGTTTTCTGGAGTTGTGGATATTTTCTTACTCTGAGTGCTACCATAGGGAGCTCTTGTGCACCACTT